TAACTGATGGGCGCAGTAGCCCTATCTTATCGACTCTTAATACGACATGGAGTGACATTTCGTCCACACAACAAAAGTATTACCAGAGAAAGGCTAAGGAGACTATCACGGCAGCATTGAGTGTTATAAGTCCGGGCCAAGAACAAGAGCTGTGGAATGCCGTTCGAAGAGAGCAGTCACTTGATTCAGGACAGATATCAACCAGACGAAAAAGSTTTGACCCATCATCTCCTATCATAGAGTCCCTTGTGAAAGCATACGAACATGCTGCTTCATGGCAAACAAAGCGTCAAATCCTCTCCATTTTCTCAAATGATTTTAGTCGCTCAGAGCTATTAGCTTTAATTCCCTCCTTGACAAAATGGAAAATCGACCAAGCCCGTCAACATGCAAGTGATGTAGGAAAAGGCCAAACAGTACCATCTCAACCTATATACCGAACCCGCATTTCTCCATCCCAAATTCAGCATTTTGTAGATTTCATTTCGCGTCCAGAAATGGTACAAGATGTTGCGTTCGGTACGAAGACTTTAAAACTCGACTCTGGTGATTCCATCATCATACCTGCAGTAGTACGAACCATGATCCCATCAAGAATRATAGAACAATATAACYGTTATTGTGTRCAGAACGATTTCGAACCTGCGGGGAAACGATCCCTTTACAGAATGATAGACGTTTGCGCCGCATCATTGCAAAAATCATTGCAAGGTCTTGATAATACGACCGCCGAAGGGACTGATGCGATTGACAATATGAGTGACACTGTAACTACTCTTGGTAGTCTTGGTTCAAGTGATCAGTTCACAAAACCTGYAATACAAGGAATAAAAGAGGCAAAGAAGTATCTCAAGACGGAATTCAAAAGTCATGTTGGTCGAGAGAAATGTTGTGCTGACCATTGCACGACTCATGCACTAAGTGACCCAAGTGAAAAGAAATACCAAAGACCGTGTAAAGTAGAACACGATGTTTATTKCAAATCCTGTTCGTCCCTTGATGACCTCATGCAAAAAATAACAGCTGAGATAGAGAATATACCTGCAGACGAAGAGCAAAAATCACGGATGAAACATGAATTCAAGCAGTATATTGAAGCTRTAAATGCCTGGAAAGGACATCTTTTGAGAACTGTTAACCAAGAAGAGGCAAAGCAAGATGCCCTAAATGCACTTGACGAGCACACATGCTTRATAATAATGGACWGKGCAATGAAATTCCTGCCTCTTCGCTATCGAGAGAGGATGAGCGAATTTTTCGGTAAGAGAGGGAGAAGCTGGCACGTCAGTGCAGTKATAATGAAGAATGAGGAAAAGCTGGAAGTTGAGTGTTTTGTTCACATTTTTGATTCGTGCACACAAAACAGTTTTGCAGTAGCATCAATAATAGAGAACCTCTTAATAAACATCAAGAAAGAAAACCCGCAGATTGACAGTGCATTTTTTAGATCGGATAATGCCGGGTGTTACCACAGCGGAACYTTGCTGCTCAGTCTCCCCCACATTGGCAAACGAACTGGCATAACTCCTCTACGSTATGACTTTTCAGATCCTCAGTCAGGAAAGGATATTTGTGATAGGAAAACGGCCCCCATGAAGTCTCATATTAGACGATGGGTCAACGAAAAACACGACGTTCTGACAGCCTTTGACATGAAAAACGCTCTCGAGTCCCATGGTGGTTTAAAGGGGTGCCGGGCTGCCGTTGTTAAAATTAACTCAGTCGAAGAGAGTGCAAGTCCACCAAATAAGATACCAGGCATAAGTTTATTGAATAACTTTGCATTCACTAAAAACGGCATACGGGTATGGCGAGCGTATAATGTTGGCCTTGGAAAGCTGCTTCAAT